CTCCTTCGCCGGGAGCAACGTCGGCACCAGCGGCTCTCCCCGCACCGGCCCCGTAGGCCAGCCGGGCTCTTCGCGGCGTTTCCCCCCTCAGGCGTCGGGGTCGAACGCCGTGAGCAGCGCGGCAGCGGGCCCTGACGCGGCCGCCGCCGCCGCCGCCGCCGCCGTTGTAACGGAGAGCGTGGCCTCTCCTCTGCACCTCTTGGGACTCGCCGCCGCCGCTTCCAGCAGCATCCAGGCTAGCGACGGGCCGGTGTCGCCACCCTCTTCTGCTGCTGTGGCGGCGGCGGCGGCGGCGGCGGCGGGAGGCGGGGGGGCGACCATGCATCACCTCCACGATCAGCACCAGCAGCGTGGCCGCCATCTGGCTGGAGGGGCTCTGGGGGTGGGCACGAGCGGGACCGGGAACGGGAGCGGGGGGGTGCCGCAACATCATTCTCGGGGCCCGGCTCCGCCGCCAACGACGACGCAGCTGCCGTCGCTGTTGCCGTTTGCAGACGCGGTGCTGAGGTCGCGCGGGGGAGACAGCAGGGGGAACACGCAGGTGGAAAGTGGGGGCGGCGGCGGGCGCGACGCGGGGGCGACGGGGTTTGGGGCGTTCCAAGCCCGGCAGGTGCGTTTTTTTTTCTTGCTGTTCTTGTTCTGTCTCGTGGTATCATTGTGCGTGAACATGGTTTGTGTGGAATGCAACGCTTCGTTTCTGGCGCGGTTGTGTTTCGCAGCAAGCGTGTGTTGCTGATTTGTTGTGGCGGTACAACACGACCTTAGTCCTTGACAGCTCTACTCAACCCCCCAACTGTTTACGCTGTGGTACGATTGTTGATCGGTCTTTTTCTCTGCCAGGAGCAGTCGGCCCAGCCCCAGCGGCAGCACTACGAGAGCTACGAGCACAAGCGGTCGGGGTCCGCAGAGATGCACACGTCGGTGGCGGCGCAGGCAGAGGGCCGCGCCTACTACAGCCACGCCGCCGGTGAATCGGGCGGGAGTAGTAGCCATCACCACCGCGGCGGCACGGGGAGTAGCGGTGAACGGCCACCGTCTCTGCTTCACACGGCGGTTGCCCCTATCGCCGTTCCCGACAGACTCCACCACCAGCCGCACGGCGGCGGCATCAGTGCAGGGAGAGACCGGACGTCGTCCGTCCTGGCGGCCGCCGCCGCCGCCGCTGCCGCCGCCGCTGCCGCCGCCGCCGCCGCGAGCGGGAACGGTGGCGCTCCGACGGCTGCCGCGGGGTCAGCACCCTCGCTGGGGAACAAGGGCGCGAGGGACGCGGCGGCGGCGGGGGCTCCGGTGGTAGGGGAGGCGGCCGCACAGGCCATGACGGCCCGGGGGCCGAACGCGCCGCGGTGGATGTTGAGCATCGACGAGAGGAAGGTGGAGCGGCCGAGGTCACCGCGGGGCTCCTCTGTTGCTCGCTTGACTCCTGCCGAAGAGCAAGCGAGGATGGGAGGTACGGCTGCTGCCGCCGGCTCTGCTGCTGCGCAAGCGGCGTCGGAGGAGCTAAGAGGTACTGGCC